TTCGCGCTAAGAGCGGGTAAAGTAAACCTGCACCTTAGTTTGATTACTTCTTTAAAATCTTCCCCACCAGTTCAAACTGAATTGTCTTTCGCTCTAATTCTATCATTCATCCGCCATCATCGAGTGTAATAAACACGATAATATAATGTCTTTGATCTAAAGAGTGAATATGAGTTGTCAAACTTGAGTAGATACACACCACGGCCAGGATACATGTGGCTACCAACAATCACTTCCTCGTTACAAGGCCTCCGAACCACTGGGAGAACCTCGTCTATTCTTGGCTTGGGGGGACTGGACTCGTTTTCAGTCGCTTTATCGTCTTCTGCGAACTCGTCGTCGTCCGATTCGTTGACGGCGACCGTGATATTCTTGGTTTGCGGTTGCGACCATTCAAAGGAGACTCCAAAGCCAAGGTCGTAGTACTCAGTGGCAAACTCCCAGAACAAACACGTTCCTAGTTGGGGAGGGAGGGTCAAAGAGAAATAGATAAGCAGAATTCAAGGACTTACCTTCACGTGCAAGCTGACTTAAATAAAAATAAATAAATCAAGTGCATTTAGCACTGCTGTGCTAATCGGGGACACTAAATAATTAAGCAAATGTTGCAAATAGAACATCAATGACTAAGAATCCCAACTGGTGAGAGGCTGACCAGCTGGTTATTTGCACAACGTAGTGGAGGAGTTGAACTCGCGACTACCGAGAACAAATCCAGATAGGGGCCGGGAGGAGGATTTGGAACAGGGACCTCCAGGCCCTAAACCACTTGAACACGTCGCCTCCCCTTGAGTTTATAGTACATTAACTTTGTAACAATAAATTGTAGCTGCCATGGACGTTAGTAGAAATGGTAGCCATTTTGGACGGCTATATGATGTTTTTAATAGGATTCAACTTCAAATAATGGCGTAGGAACGGGTGATTAGAAGAATTATGGGGGAAAACAAAACAAAACAAAACAAAACAAAACAAAAAAACACTCGCGAAAGAAAAAATCGCGGCAACAAATTTCATGTGCAGCAAGAATAGATGGGTAGATAAGACATCACTGAATAGGCATACCCAAGGGAGAATAACTCGAGGTGACTGAGAAAAAGGTTCAACTGTATTTTGTCTGCCCTGAACTTGACTCCACGTTATTGTTTGTTTGAATGCAGGAAAGGGTATCAATTATAAATTCCTCGTATAATTGGTGTAGGGTCATACATTGTCGGTTCAATTCCTGTGAAACTCGAAAACGTCTTTGCCAAGTACATGTGGCTTGTCTTTATCTGATTAAATTTTTTCTTATCTTTAATCCTAAGTTATAGAACTGCACACGTGCCATCACTTCTTTCTACATAATACATGAACTACGTCACGGTTTGCGCATCTTAAAAAGTTTAGCCTAAATTTTTCAAGTTCGTCGTTTGTAATCCGTGTTAATCTTCTCCATCCTTAACCATCCTTGCTTCTTTATGGTTTATTACTATCCCTTTGGTGTTTTTCTATCTTAGTAAACTACTATTTTCAGGCTTCCTTCAATTTGAAGGCGAGTTTGTCCGTGGCCGAAACAACTCAAAATGCTGAGCTCCTTTAAGGACACCGCACACTAGCCGATTATTTTGTCGGCCGACAAAAGAAAATCTTCACTTGTCGGCTAGTGTGCGGTGAATTCAGACAAGTCTCCGACAAGATCGAGGCTTGTCGGGCGATATCTGACAGTGCTAGATCTCAAAACGTCTTGTTGGGCCTTGTCCGCTAGTGTGCGGTGGACCAAGACAATTTGTCGGGGCACGCGCGCCTCAACCAATTAGGAAATGTCATGAGAGTCACGTCAGTGAAATAGGCGCCATCTTGTTTTTGGATGATTCGGCCCCAAGCCTCAATGCGGTTAGTCGCGAGAAAAAATCGGCTAGTGTGCGGCAAGTTGATGGCCCGACAAATTTTAACCTAATTTGACTAAGACAAAAAATATGCAGTTCTGCGACAAAAAATCGGCTAGTGTGCGGCAGGCTGATGGCCCGACAAATTTTAACCCGATTTGACCCCGACAAAAAAATCTGCAGTTCGGCTAGTGTGCGGCAGCCTTTACAAGTAGGTTCAGGATCTCATAAGTACACAGCAGCATAATCACTCACCTCCTTCATGTGTAGGCACACGGACTGTCATTGTCTCACCGCGTCCAACAACTAACACAGAACTTGGGTCAGACTTGACATGTTGAATAAACTCCTGGACCTTTGGACGAGTCCATAACGAAGCGGGTGCTATCCTAGGTGTGCCATTCACGGCTAATGTCTTGGGCTGGATCAATGAAACAACAACAAAAAAAAGCGCATGAGTCGAGAGAGTTGTGAAAGTCACAGTCTGCGTGAGACCAAGAGATCAATAGAGTGGAGCTTATCCTTGTTTTCTTTAGCAATATTTTTATTTCCCCCGAATGAGGGGGAAAAAAAGATGAAAAAAGGAAATACAAAAAGTAATAACATGTTACAATAGTAGAATTACATGAATGTGTATGTTTCAAGTGTTCCCCTTTAGAAAATGAAAGCTCTCTACAGGTTATTTTATCTTCTCTACAGTTACAGACTATTTATTAAATGATTACACCGTCGAGTTTGAACCTGGCAAGACAACTTTACCATTAGTGCAAGAGAGTTCTAAATATTTCAAATAATCCATCAAAGGTCCAGGCCCTGCTCTCACCAAATTATTTTTGTCAGGGTGGGTGGAGAAGGGAACTGCGACACAAGACAAAAATAAACAATATAATGTCCCATTTTGATTAGCACCTGGATTTTTGAGCAAGTGTCATGCGCTAACCATCAAAACACTGTGCATGTATCAACAACAAACGATTGAGGATCAAAACATCTTGAGGCATGTGAATTCAATTTGCTTCATATTATTTGTTCCATGATGACAGACCAGTGTTGGTATACCTGTGGCTCTGGTGTTTGATGTTGGTGTTGCTGTTGTTGGAGATGTTCCTGTTGCTGTAAAAATTGCTCCTCTTGTTGTTGCTGTGCTATTATTTCTTGTTTTCTTCTGAAAAGTGATAAAAGGACAATAAAAAAAATGCATTCTACAATAAATTAAAGATCTGTTGTTTCAGTAACAAAGCCTTAGCGAAATCTCAAAATTTACTACACCCAAAAAGGTGTCTTAAGTAGGGTTTGGTTTTTTTCTCAAACTCGTTTTCTTTCCCCATAATTTTGTCAATCAAGAAAAACATTACCTTTGCTTTGCTCTAGTTTCCATGATGGTAACTAGAGCAAAGCCAATGTCCAACAAAAAAAATATGGTCATGAGCCTCCCTTTAAAATGTGTTGTGAGACTGGCAGGTTTTCCTTCATCTGAACCTTTATAATTTTTTGGCATCAACCTCCTTTATATGGCCTACACAGCAAGCATTCGTGCACAAGCAAAGAGATCCTCACCAGTCAATCAAACAAAAATTGGGACACGAGCAAAGCTCTTTCATTCATACAGGATCGCTTGTCAAACATGCAGGCTAGCCAGGAACTTCACGAAACACACATGTAACAACAGGGTTGCAGGAGGTTAATCATTTCCTTGCAAGCTAACTGCTTGTAATTTTTCCAAAATATACACTTCAGTGGTTCTCATGAGACGAGACTCTCGTCTCTGAAGACATGACTCTGTTTCACAAGAAATGAGACGAGAGGTGGTAACTTACATGTACATGTACTTCAAATTGCCTAGTACTGTGCACTGTACAAAAATTCCTGACATAAATTAGACAATACCATGTACAATGTACATGTACACTGTACCCCATGGCTTTCCAAACCTCCTGGTAACATCACTGCACTACATCAAAAGTTAAACATTTGTAAAATATAATTTAAAATATTTCATTAGTACATGTACATGTTATGGGCAATGGTATCGAAGTGATGCATAATAAAATGGCTATTAAGTAAAATTACCTTTCTTCTTCTTCAGCTTTTCTCCTCATTTCTTCTGCTAGCAGTCTTTGTCTTTCTTGTTCAGCGACCTCCTCAGCTTCTCTTCGTAATCTTTCCTCCTCTTCCTTTCTCAGTCTCTCTTTCTCTTCTTTCTCCTTCTGCTGTGCTTCCATCCAAGGACCTAGCTCAGGGGAACATGTGCCAAGTAATGAACAGAACTTCTTCATGGCTTCTCTGGGCTGCATGCTGCCAAGGCTTTCCCATGCTCTCCTGATTCAGAGATACATGCAATAAAGTTATCGCCAAACAAAACATTTAATTACTGTAGGACTGCCACCTTATGACACATCTTCCTGTGATACTTATGTACAGTGTCTACATTACATACCCCGATACACTCAACACAACAAATTGTTATTAATTGTATATTGTATTGTGTACAATTATTATTCAGTACACATTACAATATACTAAAAAAGGACATCTAGCAGAGGACAGGCAAAATACTTGTAATTTGATGTCAAGCTGTTTTTGCTATTTTGATTGAGAACACACACTGTTGTACAGCTTAAAACCACAGCATGTGGCAGCCATCTGTTTTACATTTATAAGTTTCTTTTCCTTTGTTTTTGTCATAAATTGCTACGCAATGGATCAAATGTTGGGTTTTGGTGAAGACTTGTTAAAGTTATTAAAGACAGGAAATTTCTACACTTACTGACATATCACCACTTTTTTTTTGTAAAGCAATATCACACTTATCACAATTATCTTTACTATGAATACATGTATTCATATCATGACAAAAAATATTGTGGTGCATCAGTGTCTCACTGTGCACAGCCCTACATAATATATGCAGGTTAACTATATGTAGGGTACAGCTGTATGTAGTCACAGCAATATAGACACTGGCTTGATATAATCACTGTATCATACTACATGTGCACGCACATGTACATGTATACAAACACGTGTAAATACTGTACAATGTAAATGTGATTAGCCACCATGCACTTCAGCGAAATAAAGCCATGTCCTGTATCCAGTATATTGTACAGAGAGTTGCTAAGTACCTTGGGCAAAATTTAATTTCGTCTAATGGGCAGAATTTTATATTTCAAATAGATTTTAACATGGATTTCATTTGCTTCAGTTGCCGATAGGAAAAAATCAAATTGTGTGGTTATGTCATCACATGATATAAAATACTACAACGTGCTATGCAGAATAATGGGAAATGCTGAGTGATACCTCCAAATTAATGTAGAAATGTTTATGTTGTGGTTCAATATTACATGTACCTGTGATACAATTTGGTATTTTTCTTTGTTTCAAATACATTAATTTTCTTATAACAAACATTGTAATTACTGTACACCAGAACAAAGGAAACTATCAAATTCTATTATATGGCAAGGTACATGTAGGACTTCTCGAGACAAATGTGAGCATTCTGATTAGTTCTTTCATGGTTGGGATGTTGCCATACAGACTATTTCCATGGAAATGGTCATAAGCTTCTGTTTTCAAAAGCTGGCGAGATACCGAGTGCCATAACTAACTACTTACTAACCTAGCTTGCTCAAGCCGTACTGGGAAATTTTTGCCCTTGGTCATTTTTGTACAGCCTCACTACACTCAGCCTGTACTGACATGACCTTGCCCAATATTTCCCTTGCACTCAGTTAGCAAGAGGTTAGTACCAAGGGTATAAATGAACCACAACATCTATACTGTACCATCTACACTGTACAGTGTACAATACGGCACAGTCAAGAAAAATCAAAGTCCTTGAATGCCCAAGATTTTCCTGAAATGAAATGAGGTTGAAAGACTAGCAGAACCCGAAATTGAGAAATACATTGCAAAGTATTTTTATTACCTCCTGTCATTACCAATGACATCAAAATACCCTACATCTGGGTATTTTTCAGGATCATAAGCTCCACTAGAAATCTGCTTCCAAAAGGCTGTCAGTTGAACTTTATCATCATATGTCAGCTTTATTATTTGCTTTTCTGCAAGCAAACAAAAAAAAAGTTACAGCCTGAAGTAAAAAGCCAATCAGTGCAGATTAAGATTTTTATTCACTTTAATTATTTTCATGTTTTGAGAATTTGGTGACTCATCAAAGCAACATTAGCACAAAGTTAACAAGGTTGAGAATACATTATACCACAGTTCGTGAATGTTACCTTGTTGTAACGTAAAAAGTTATCAGAACTTATACAGTTGGACCTGTGCAAATGGACATCCTGTAGGCATGTAGAGGCCTCCCATAAGCAGCCCATCAAGGTGCTTTCAGAATGTTATCCCAAAGAAAATGCACATGCTTATTGGTTTGAAATATTATAATTGTGTTTCTAGAGCGGTGTTCAATTGAGTATCGTAAAACCAAAGCCAAACCAATTACTTACTAATTAGACTACGCAGCCAATCTCAAACCATAGTAAAGCCAAAACCCAAGTAATTGCCTCATTACTTTTGACACTCAACTGAAAACCACTCTATTAAACAATTAGATTATCAACAATTAGATTATGACCTCGAGATTTCTATGAGGTGATAGTTGATGATGTTGAAGGCCAAACCACTCAACTATCGCCTCGCAGAAATCAAGAGCAAATAATCTAGTAATTGTTTTAGTGGAATTCTAACTGAAATTTGCCTCAAATAACAATTCCAATTATTTCTGGTCTGAGTAATAAACTTCACACTTAATTAGAAAATTTGCACGGACTGAATTGTCAATTTGACATTAATTTACAGTTGTGTATGCATGCTTATAAATCTTTTTTTTTTTTTTTTAAATTGTGTTTTTTTTTAAATTCAAGAAACCATGAATCTCCTTCTTTCAGTCTTCCCTGGAATTTGATTATCCATTTGTTTCTTAATGTTCTTTTAAAACTTCGGGGGAAACAAGGAAACGTTGCAATTTTGTCGACCACACCAAGCCACCGCACACTAATGGCTGATAGTGTGAAATGGCTCAGCCAATCAGATTACAGCATTTGCATTAGTATACTACAAGAATTCTACAGAAACTTGATAGAAACACAGAACTAGCACGAGTTTGTTACATAATGATCGTTCGAGCAAACAGAATTTCCATTTTGATGATCAAAGTAAACAAGTTGCTTTCTTTTTTTCATCACAAAGTTTTCTAAAAGAAATAGAAAACAAGTCCTCTGTGTTTCTATAGAGCTTTAGTATGAATCTACTAGTGTACTATCATGAATGATGCCCTCTGATTGACTACGCTACTCACTATCTATTCTGTTATAGATAGTGAATAGCCTAGCAGTGTGCTCTTGTTAAAGTGCACCTAACCCCCAAATTTTTTTTCCGCTAAAACGAATCTAGATGTTATTTGAAATACTTCTGTGAAAAATTTTTTGGATTCGGTTAAATCCTTGGTTTTCTGTTCCCCGACGAAATCTCCAAAATAGCCCCAAAACACCGCCATTTTGTTTCCCCACCGAGTTTGAGGAGAATGGGTCCAGCGGCTGTTGTGACGTCTACCCAGGAAGATCGAATATCTCACGTCCTCTCATTTCCTTCAGGATGGTGCAATACACATTCGAAAAGTGCGCAGAAATGCCTTCCAGAAGTACTATCGGCTGTTGCAGCAATATCCCAGATCTAAAAAAAGATATACTGTACAATTTACTAGCGATGATCGGTCAATGGTANCTAGAGTACTGCACTTGAATCCACGTACATGTATATGTAATCGCTTCCTTATATTAAATTAAAAGCGCATTTCAAAAGTTTATCTACACCGCTTTCAAGATGGCTAGGTTTTTTGTCTAAAGAATAGAACATTGGGAAATCGCTTCGTTATAAATCTTAGCATAAGACACAACGTATCGTAAAGCTATCCGAATCAGAATTATTCAATCAAACTGAAACTTATGATGTGTCACAATGTTGCTTGAAGTTCCCGGTAAACGACTTACCTCTATGATAATACTGCAGGCAAAGTTTGTAATATTCCGGTAAAGAAAATCCATAATTGTACGGTTCTTCTTTGGCTCCTTTTTCTTGAGCTCCTCCGGTTTCGATAGAGGTGTTCTGGTCCTCAGTAATTGTTAAATCTTGTGGATTTTCGGCAATCTCAAGATTGGGTTCACCGTCCGCCATATTGCCACGAGTACGAACCAATAACACACGAACGCGCATGCACATATTTTCACTGTAACCGGAACCGGAAACGAATGGATCCAGACGAATAAAGGGGACAAATAAAGGATAAATGAAGAAAACTAGACCAAATGCGTTATTTTTCTATGATTATTATTTTTAAT